CTACTTTCACAGACATTTTCATACAAAAAAGATCCACTACTTCTGATATTCCCGATTTTTTAATGTGTATATTTAAAATGTCATGAATATTCTGAAGGCTTCATATTTGGAGGTCAGCAAGGGACTGTGCTTGCACTGCCCTCTTTAATATGCATATTAGTCACTGGTGGTTGGGGAGATTGCTAAGTGTACAGCATCAGCAGTTTGCTGAAGCCACAACTTCGTGCCTCCCTGCCATCAAACACAGATGAAACAGGGTTTTTCTTTAACCCTGAAAAACAGATTGCGTCCAGGATTGGAAGTCAATCTCACTAAGAAACAGGCATTAGAAAAAAAAAACTGAAAAGGAAAAACGAATAAAAGGAAGAAAAATTTAAAAGAAATGCAATGTTGGTATTAGTCAGTTAGCTATATGTTGTTTATTCACTTCAGTATAGGTTTCATTGCAACATTGAAGGAACACAAATTGACACAAAATTCATGTAAATTTATGTAAATGCATATATAAATGAGTTGCAGCCCTCAGGCTCCTGGCAAGTTGCCACAGTGGCTTTGAGCAGAGCAGAGATTTTGTGCCACTGTAGTACTCTGAGAGGCGTTATTGTGAATTAGAGTGTGGTTTTCTGAGAAACATTAGTAGCTTTATCAGTTCCTACATGAAGTTTGCCAAGGGCGAAAGAAATACCACTTTGTGAACTTTTGGCTTCTTATCTGAGTTAGTAATAGCACTGAGCGTAGAAATAGCTCATGTGTGACCACTACAAACTCTTTCACTTTCTCAGCAGAGTTTATAGTTACTGTGAGACTGTAACACTCAGTTTGTGAACATGATAAACTTCACTGGTATTTCTCTGGAATCTGTAATAGCCATTAACTCAGAAATAGCTAGTTCACGACCATTATAAACTCCTTTGGCTTCTCTGTGGAGACATTCTAATAGTCATGAACACAGAAATAGCTGGTTCACAACCATTAAGATCTTTGTCAACATGTCCATTGAGAATATAATGGTTGTAAATCGGGAACAGCTAGTTCACAATTTGTACACTTTTTTCTTTTTTTTTTCTTCTTCTCCATATTGAAATACAACCCTGCAGCCAAAAACTTGCTAGTAACAAATAATGCTGTAATACGGGCTTACTTAGGCATTCAGGGATAATGCAGCACAGTAAAATATAATACATTAAGGTAAATGGCAGAGCAAGATTTGGGTAGCTTTCGAAAACTTGTGGCTTGTATCTGGTAGTTATCTGTCTAGCAGCTCCATTGTACTTGCATCCCTTCTTCATTTGTAAGGACAGCTCGCAGGAAGCATCACAGGCAAGGATAAATGCAAAGTTGTGGTACTGACTTGGAAGGGCAAAGGGCTGTCGGGGAAGAAGCACTTCTTGTTTTTCAGTATGTGGGATCTCAGAAATTCTATGGCCTATCTACAGCAACCTGTAGGCAGGACTGCAGAGAGACTTGCGGGAATTTTGTAACTGAGAATGTCTGTCAGCCACATCAGGTAGCTGAGGTGACATCTGAAACCCCCACCTCAGCCCTTAACAGCGCTCATGGGTCACGCTCAGCTGTGGTATGACTGGAGGAAGCCTGCTCACAGGCCTCTTGCATCTCCATGCAATACCTGCTCTTTGCAAATGAGCCTCATCTCCTTCAGAAGTCTTCTGGAGTAACTGTGGGAGGTTGTTGGGATTCTCACAAGTCCTTTGCTAGCAAATAGCTATCATAATAGAAAGGAAACATAGCAGCAGTGTTCCCCTGTACCCTCAGCACAGCCTCTGGATCCACACCTTTTACTTCCCCATGAGCCCACCCTCTGCTGTATGATCCTTCCTTGTCACCAGTCTCCCAATAACCTATCTGAAAACATTTCTAATTGCGGAGTAAAAATTTTCTGGGAACTGGAAGTCTTTCCTTTTCTCTTTCAAGACCATGATGTAAAAGACTGAGTGGGGTCAACATGGCACAAAAGTTCTGGTGGCAAGGAGGGAAGCACTTCAGTATTTATAAGCTCTTCTTACTGCTTCAAAGAATTTATTTCTGTTAGTGAGAAGTGTTTGTGTAATTCAGCCCCACATGATCTTACTGTCTTGGGACCTAATTCTGTTCCCACTTAACTCTGTGTCCAAATCTCTGTTGATTTCAAATTGAAGCAGCCCTGGGTCTTTTGGTGGTTTCTCTATTTTTCTCACTAAGAAATTGTTTTTTTTTAAATTTCTGACATCACATGATGCAACTCAGTGTAGAAATGGTGCTTTCGAGTGTGCATAGATGTAAAGAAATCATTTTTCAGTGATAATGATAAATTCTCTGCAGCATAGTGAGCGTGGGAAGTAATCACTGCAGGACAGAAAGACTGTGGAAGAAGATGTGCCACCACTTCAGGATTCAGAGAAGAAATCATTCTCCAGTAATTAAACATAAGAAGAATCAACTGTTTCAATTAATTTTACCTGAGTTTTCACTTTTGTTGTTGTTGTTGTTTTTCTTTAAAAATTAAAACCTTTAGGAAAGCAATGACAGATGGAGTTTTCAAGGAAGTCAAGGGATTAAAAAAATATTGAATTGGCAAACTGGCAGGAAAACAATAAGAGAAAGAGATGCCAAAGAGTGTTGTTATGGTGGTGCTGGGAAAGGACACCAGTCCCAAGAAAAGAGAGGAGGCGATCAAGGGCCTGATCCTGCAAATCTTTATTTGCTTGTGTGAATGATCTCATTGATCTTAGCTGGTCTCTGTGCCTGGGAAACTATTTGTAGAGTCAGATCACAGAGTGTTAGTGAGCAAATGCCACCTCATTCATTGCCCAACCTGCAAACACTCAGCCGGAGGGATAGATCAGGGGGTGCTGGGAGGAGGAGGGGTTGCCAAAGAAGGAATGCAGGAGTGATGTTGCTCCGGCGTTAGCAGAGTGGTATCCTGAACATCACCACTGAGGGATGGCAACCCTTGATCTGAAGGAAAAGAGAGAGCCAAGATTTTAAGAACGGTTTTTAAAAACTGAATGCTGTTCTTGCATTGAGATTTTACTCCACCTAGGGCTTAGCCCAAGGGAAAACCTGACAATAAAGTTATAGACCTCCTTGAAAAATAAGAAATCTTGGCATGAATGTCTCTAGCCTGGTGTGAAAGCTGTATCCTACTCATGTGTTATGCCAGGCCACGGTGATAATGAAAGTACCAACAAATAAATACCCAATGAAGAAATAAACCTGTTGGAGTAATTTTTTGTGTTAAATATTCATTTAATGCTTTTCCCCTGTACTCATTACAGTACCTGCACAGTCCCAAATTCTAAAAGTGTTTGAGTGTCTGATTGCTGCTGAAACTAGCAGGTGTTAAGCACTTAATCACTTTTGAGGGCTCAAGTTCTATTTCACTAATATTATAAATTTAACAGAGCTCTACTTGCTTTCTCCCAGTGATGCTTCATCTGGTTTCTGATTGTTTATTTTGTTTCACAGCACTGACAGCACATTATTAATAGACATTTATGTATAGGGTGCATTAAGAATGTTTTGCAGTGACAAAGATTTTCACTTCCAAAAGGTTTGAACCTAAATAGCAGGCCACGTGCACATTAGTTACTTAAAAAAAAAAAGAGAGAGAGATTTATGTATTTATGGCAGTTGCATTTTCTCCAAGACCACAGATCTCTATTTATTCTCAGGGTGCTTCTGTCCTTGATGACATGAAGTGTTACTTTACTGGCCCTTGGAGAAAAAGCAGAAGGGAAGATGCAGTGTCTTCTAGTCTATTGCATAACCCACTGCTAATCACAGATCAGCTTAATTGCCACAGTGAGAAAGCCAGTGCTGCCAACTCTAACTAAAAACACTGATGCTTTTCAGAAAATGTTAGGGAAAGGATTTCTAGAAACTTGAAACATGAATAAAATTATAGAGAGAATTTTCTTAACAAAAGGAATGTAAAAGTTGCTTATTTGACTATGATATCTACCATACAAAAATGTGTCTATGATGAAGCAATTGCAATCACTTGCTGACGCGCAATCAGAAGAAAAGCAGACAGAAAAAAAAAAAGTGTATGATTTATTTATAAATCTGGGAAATAAAGAATATTTACTTTCCACACTGTATGTAGGTAGGGCAAAAAGACAGGAAAACACAGGTATGTGACAACAGTGATACCTTTAAAGGCACTGAGCACCTTAAAATATGTGTATAAATATACAAGGGCAGCTCCAAAAGTACTGTCTCCTGTAATATGACGTTGACCCACAATGTCAGAGGTGGACGTTGGTGGGATGGCAGTAGAGGCTGAACCTTTCTGCCAGTATTCCATTACACGCTGTTGCCGTGTGACAGATGGCAGCAGAGGGGCACTCAGACACAATGATGTCTGACATGGAAACGTGTATTTAGCAAAGGTGTGTCACTGAATTCCTCCATGTGGAAAAAAAAATATGGCACCCATTGACATGCATTGATACTTGCTGAACATTTGTGGAAACCAAACAGTGGACGTGAGCACAGTGAGGTGGTGGTTGTTGCATTTCAGGAGTGGTGACAGCAATGAGAAAGACATTCTGGATGGCCATGCACAGCTGTCACACCACAAAATGAAGAGAATCTTCATCAGCTCATCCATATGAATCGGCTAATGCTGATGACTGTGTTGAAAAACAGTGGTTTGCAGTTGAGAATTTGCTCTATCAAATAATGTTGTGCTCTTTTCATCTATTTGAGTTTCCATGGAAATAAATAGGAGGCATTACTTTTGGAGCTAGCTACACGTATTTATACGTATAAGTTTACTTACGGAGAGTAATGACTCAATCATGACATAATGGTAGAGAAGTCTGTCATTTCACCACCTGAGGAGCAGTTAAATCTAAGGCCATGAGACCTCAGACCTATTTTTAGTGAACATAATATTAAATAACTTTCTTTGTGATAGGTGAACCATTGGACTAATCACTAGAGATATGAGATCAAGGTTAAGTTCTGATAGAATGTTGTAACTGTATATTGGCAATCTTTTCTAAAATAAAGATATATATTATTACTGATTCTGACCTCCCTCTGATTTTGAATGAATGTAAATGTTACTCAGTGTCTTCACTATAGTTTCTTTACACTCACCATAGCATCGATAAGGTCAGGAACAGTGCCATTCATTCAGAATTCTGAGGAAAATACCCATTTTCTCATAATGACAGAAAATTCCTTTTTTAATTGATTTGTTTCTGACCATTCCTGAAATATTTAGGGCCATACAGGGAGTTCCTGAGTTCCTAGAGTTAGAATCATACAGAAAAATCATTGAATGTGGCATTGGGTTTGGAGATTCATGATCCTTGAGGTTCCTTCCAACCCTGGCCATTCTGTGATTCTGTGAAGTTCCTGTTATTAATGAAAACAATTTTTTTAATTTCTTTTCCTCTGTGAATTTTTGACTATTCAGACTCAAGATTGTCTAAATGCATAAATGTGAGTATCATAATTTTTTGTCACATTTCTTTCCCTTTATCAAAAAATCTAGCCCTGAGGCTTTTTTTTTTTTTAAGATAAATTGTGGAGGCTTTCTCTACCTCAGATATCAATCAGCCCTTTGCCCTTGTCAACAATTAAAATTCTTTCCAAAAAGCAATATAGGGCACTTACCAACAAGTCATCCAATTTGTCAAAAAGGGCCTGCTACAAACAGAGGGCACGTGCACTCAAAGACTGCTCTGAACTAGCAAGTAGGAGTGGGTGCAGGGTAAAAGGAATGGTAAGGAATAAAGTAGGGCAGCAGTAACAGAGAAGCTTGCTGTTTCATTCAAAGGTGTATCCTGGCATTCAAAGGGAGAAATGTTAGAGGAGCAGTGTTGAAGCTAGATGGTCATTGTGGTCCTTTTCAACCCAGGCCATTCTATGATTCTATGAACACCTCCAGGAGTACTGCCTGCGGTCTGCATCCACACCATGTTCAGCATCAGTCAGTGGCACAGAGCAGACCTCCACATTACTGCCACTAGAAGGATGTGCTCCAGTACCACATCTTGCTTTTCTGTTGAATAAAATACACGGCACAAGATGGCAAGATGTGTATTAAACAATTTGTACAGTTATTGGTATTTATTAAAAGAAGCTCATTGGGATGAAATGACTGAGATGGACTTCTGATGAGCGGAAATCTCCATCTTGAATTAAAAATGTCTCATTCTCTCTGTGTGCTGTATAAATATGGCATGTGTTTTGAAAATTTCTAATACGTGTCAGTTTCAGCTGAAGCTTTTGATGTAAATAGGAGTAAGAACATTTGGCACAAAACCCAAATTACAGCTTCACCACTGCAGTTTCATTAGAAAACAGATATATTAGAAAACTAATCTGCTGGGAGGCGCAGCACAAACTGACATTTGCTTTTAAGCTCTTACAGTGCCTGAATTACAGAATTTATTATTATTATTATTACTTTAACATATTTAAATTAAAGTCAATCAAGTATGTATCTGAACTCTGGAATGAATTATTATCACTGAGTCAGTACTTTGAAATCTGTTAATTATCTAGGAATAATCCATTTGGAGACTTGCTGCACAGATAGATTCGTACCATATGCCTGATCCAAAGACTTTCACCTGTCATTTAAAATAAGATTAATCTCTCGAATATCTTATACGTGAGTGCAGGGTCATGAATCTGAATGAAATGATTCTAAGGCAAACTTGTAATAAAATTAAATTCCAGTTTCTTTTTCTGGACGCTCAAATGATAACTAGACTTTGCTGTCAAGCCTGATGCTTGATTTAATCAGTAATAAATAAACAGCCCCTACCACAACAGGACCAGATGACCAGCTCAGCCTCTGCATCAATCCAACACCTGTGTGCAGAGTACACCTATTTTCAAAGCAGTTTTCAAGGAGAGTAGCTTATAGAACATGTGACAAGCAGGGATCAGGAATTAAAGTCTTGCAGGGATCTGTAAAATCTGAGGACATTAGCCACTTGAGAGACAGGAAAGCACCTGCTCTGCAGTGCAGTTTAGGCCATTCAGTAGGTTAAACACACAAGCTGAAACCCTGACTCCAGTCGAATCAGTAGCAAAATTCCCTTATTCTTTAAAGGGCCAACATTTCTTTTTATCTTATTGTTGCTATCTGTTAACTCCACTTCGCAAGGTGATGAACACCAGAAGTAACACTCTTGTAGTGACTGCCAGAGTCATGATGAGATTTCAAATCAGGCATATCTGATACATTTCTTCATCCATCACAGGAGAGGAGATGCTCTGTACGTGTGGGAATGAGTCCTTCATAAAGCAGCAGTAAAGCTTGTCTTCCTTATCAGGATATGACTTGTGTTTGAGAGAGAGGAACAAAACTTCCAAAGAAGGAAAATCTCCTACATTCATTTCTTCCATCCATCCTCCTCGATCCAGGAGTAATGAAAGTTCTTTGTTGTTATCTGCACAAAGCAATTGTCTTAAGTGCTTCTATCTGAATTTTCCTTGGACCAAGTGGAAAAGGAACTGATGAGACAATTTACATTGCTGGTTACTAGTTTGCTATTTAAAAAAAAAAACAAAACAACATCGAACATCAGCACAGATAGGAAGAAGGTAAGAAAGCAGCCCTGGCAAAGAGTAACAAGCAGTCAAACATTCCTATTGATTTCATAAAACAGTCCCAACTGTTCTTGGAACTGAAGTCAGGGTTGATTGTAAATTATGGGAAAAGAAAAAAAGGACAAAGTTATAGAAAAAGACAGAAAACTGTTTTAAATACAGCCTACAGATCCTGGGGGGAGAAAAAAAAAAAAGAAAAGAAAAAAAAAAGGTGAAGTACATCATGCAAGCAAAGAAAATAATGCATCTTAATTAAAGGAGAAGTGTGATGGATTGATTTCATTCACTGTTTACTTACCTGGACTCAGTCAGTAGGATTCTGTAGTTGTTAATTCAAAACCATATAAAACCTGGTTTCAAAATCTGTGCCTTTTTTTGACTGGCTTAAAAAAACTTTATAGTAACACTGTAATTTCTTGCTAACTCCTGAACTCTCTCCTGAACTCTTGATCTCTTTCAAGATGGCCAAAGTATAATTTTCTGTGTTCCTCCTCTCTTATCTTTATGTGCTCTTATTTTCGCAGTGTTTGTTCTTATACCTATTTGTCAATTTTTTTCGAGTTCTCTCTCATCTGGGGATTTATATCCATAAACACCAAAGGTTTATCTTAAAAAAGGTTATCTAACATGGAATATTTATAATCTTTATTATAATAATTATAATAATTTATAATAATAATAATAAAATAAATTTATAATTTATAATATATAATAAATATATAATATTTATAATAACTTATAATTTATAATATGTATAATTATATATATTTATAATAATTCCTTTATTAAATTTATAAAGGAAGTTTTAAGCAGAAATGAACCAGAAAGCAGTGTTAGAACTTGTTTTCATTCATCATCTACAAAACACAGCAAAACTTCTCTCCCTCTCACAACTGGATTGGCTTTCTAGCCCTTCTTCATCTACACAGTTACCTCCAGATACAAATCTCTCTACAGTCCTATAGTAAGCTAGCTGTCACCCAAAGTAACTAGGTGATATCCACGTGCCCCCACATGCTTAACATCCTACTTGTCTTATGGCAAAAAGTTGATTCTGTTACATCTCTGCATAAAGTAATATTGTGTTTAAACACATAAATCTGTCAGTGCTGACAGCATTGGTGTTTTATTCTATTTCCCATCACTGCAAACATCAGAGCGCTCTCCTTGTCAAATCAGTAGCATTAGAAAAATAAATCTTCTGGGAACTACATGGTCATAGCTGCTTCTTTTTTTCTCTCTCTTTACTTTGAAGTTTTGATAAGACATACTCTATATCTTTTCCAGCTTTTGCTGATGACTTGCATATTTCTTGGTGCTTGAAAAATGAGTCTTCATAGGCCACCAATGCCTGCAGTAGTTCAAAGCAGCAGACCATGCACATCTTTGGAAATAGCAAGAAAAATTCTTCCAAGAACTTCTGAGGCAGACGAAATAACCTTACAGACACTTTCTTGCCTGAATTCTACCTAGATTACAGGGATACTAAAGCACTGAGGCACATGCCTTTGATATTTTTTATCCTTTCTAATGTCACTACTATGATTCTTATTCATAAAAATGACAAACTCTACTATGACTCCTTGGAAGCTCTTGGTTTATATAAGAAAGAGCTAGACAGACTTGTTCTAATGAACAAAGAAAATACTGAACTCCACAGAAGCTTTCCAAAAGGATTTTGCTAAAGTTCAGGTACAGATCAAAAATTTAATCTTAACTCTGTTAATAGACCTCATTGAGTAGAGTAAGATATCATTAGAAACAATTTGAGATAACAGTATCAGCAGCAGCTTAGCAAAGCATGAGTAGCAATTGCAAACAGTGTGCCTAGCTGAGCTTTAGTCATGGCAATAAGAAATAAGCTGTCTGAAATGCATTGGCAGTGAGAACATTCAGAATTTTAAGGATGAGTGGGGGCTTTTAGTGAATGAAGGTCAGAAAGCAGATCTGATTGTAAACAAGAGCTCTGTTCCCTCTGACACTGAACACATATTCCTCTTTAGATTCCCACTAGCAAATACCCTAAAACCTTCTTGAAACTTAGACTCTGAACTGAGGTTAAGCTAGGCAGCATTCATCCTAAATGTCATACAACAGCAGCAATTTCTAGAATAAACATTCTTCCTTTTGTTATTGTTCTATATGATAATAACAGCTAGTCTGATATACTTTTTACTTGCTGACTTAGTCACGTGTTTGAGATTTGAAGTAATATTCTCTTACTAAGATATTTTTCCTCTAAGACTGGTCCTTTAAAACATCTAATTAACAGCCCAAAATTTAACAGTTACCACATGCAGAAGAACAAATGCGTTGGTGTTTGAGTTACCCTCAGATTGCTTTGAACACAAGAGAGATAATAGCAAATAGGTACAGAAGTTGATACAGACACAGTTACGAAAAACAGTTATTTACTGTCGTTTACAAACTGAGTACCTGGTTTAAATTCAAGTTTAATGTAATAGAGAAGAACGATGATTATATATAAGTATGTACACACGTACTTTAGCTCAACTCTGAGACATAAATTTACTTCTTCACCTCAAATACTGTCAGGATGCTTCCATACACAGTAATTCTCACTCTTAGGGTGAAACTCTATCTTCCACTCCCAGAAGTAAATCTTGCTGAAGGCAAAGAACGTGTGCTCAGATTATCATTGAAGGAATATTCAGACCCAAGCCTTTACCCACATCACAGATACCTGTGCTCTGCAATTTAATTAATTAAATTTTGACACTTCTCCTGAAGTGTTACTGGCTTTCTCCAGCTTTTGACTTGAGACTTACTAATGCTGCTTTCAGGTAGCAAGGTGGAGTCATCACCTGATGAGCAGAAACTTGCTGAGAACTATTTCTATGTTCAGTATAAACAAGTCATTAACCCACTGAGGAGACAATGTTCCCTTCTGCCTGGTGTTCAAAGAATTCAGCTCTCAGTGTATATATTCTTCACAAACAAAAATCTGTATCTCATACAAACATCTAAACTGGCAGTTGTAGTTTACACAAGCACATAAATTACAGGATGATGGAGCTCTTTATGTGCTGTTGATTGAGGGTGCACATAACACTAGACAAAGAACAGGTTGTAAAAGGTTGTAGGTTTGAAGGTTTCTGAAGTCTGGACTTCGAAGAATATCATACTGTATTTAACAGGGATTGATACCAAGCAGCCATGGCTATGATGATGAACACTTTTTCATTTCAAACCTAGAAAATGTTCTTCATTATATCTACAGGTAATAGATATAGCACAGATCAGTGAGGTCTAACAATAAGACCCACAAGTTCCTACAAAATTGCTTCTCTGTTGATCCCAGGAAAAGCCTTCTGCTTCCCAACTGGCACCAATACTCAATTTCTACGATCAAAGCGGAAAACAGAGGTGCCACCTTGAAGCTCTTAACCTTTTGTTTGTCAGTGTAGAGACTCATGCTTACAGTGGTTTGAATTTCTAGTTCATCTGTTGCTGAAAATGATAATTTTGCATTCACTGCAGCCTAGAAACTAACTTAAGACATTCATCTCTAATGGCAAAGCTGTGTGAAAGAGTCATAGGATCACAGAATGCCTTTGGTTGGAAAGGAACTTAAAGGTCATTAAGCTCCAACCCACCCACTGTGGGCAGGGCTGCCCCCCATCAGCTCAGGCTGCCCATGGCCCCATCCAATCTAGCTTTGAACACCTCCAGAGATGGGGTACCACAGCTTCTTTAGGCAAAAGACCTCATTGGCACCCTGTACCGGCATGTGTGGCTCCCTTCTTTGCAAACTCAGCTGGCTCACCACCACAGTTCAGTGCCCTTGGCTGTGCTGTCTGGAGGGGGTGCAGAGCTGGGTTGGGCTGTGCTCTGATCCCAACCATCCAGAAGGATATAGAGAGATTAAAAACAAACAACAACAACAAACTACTTCTAAAGTGGGATTTGGATGATTTCAACAATGTGGTTGGCAACATAACTGTACAAATGGTTGTGTAAGTACATCTGGAAAAGAAGTAGGAGAAACATAGCAGGGAGTGGGAACAGGTAAAGGAATAAGAAAAGGAAGAACCTCTCAGACTGGCTTTGCTGGTGGAAAAAACATTACTGGGATGTTCTGGGGGTATCGTTCTGGGGATATGAGTGGGACAAGAAATGAAAAGTAAGGAGAATGAGTGGGGGCAGAAGAAGATGGAAGTAGGGAAGGAAAAGGGTAAAGTAAGGTCTGCTCTTCAGGGGCAGCGGCTACTGATCTGGCTCAGATGAGTTATAAAATCTTGCCATTACTGTTAAAAAGCAGCAGCGCTAATAAAAATATAACCACTGCAACCAATAAAAAATACCCACATGCAGACGTATTCCTTGTTATGAGGACAGAAATGGGTTGTTGTTACTCAGCATATCCCCTCTGTGTTTTCATGGACGTGATGAAAACATGATCCCAGAGCTGGCAGTGCTGCACCCTAGCAGGTAGAGAAAAGGGGCTGCATTTCAGACTGGACTTCGGACTGTTGGATACAAAGCAGCTAAGAACACGTCCATTGACTGAGGTAATCTTTAAATCTATTTGGAAGCCTACATTGTCGCATTGAGCCATCCTTCAGGGACCTCCTTCCAGAACTTTCCAGCACACAGCCTGCATTGCGTTCCACTCCTCCTAATCTTCATTGAACCCAGCAATATCTCTTGGATGTAGCTCCAGAGCAAGAGTATGTAGCAGAATGCTGTTGCCAAAAGTCACTGCAGTGCTGCTGTTCAGGCAGTTTTGTCTCCTTTGCATTGTCAACATAATTAAAAAATAAGGGTAGATCAGGCTCTTTACAATAGTAACAGTTTTGCATGAGAAAAAGGAATAAAAAGCTTGAAATCACTGACTTCTTACTGACGATACCATGTTATCATTGATAAGGTACTAAAAATCCTCTCTGATGCATACCTGTCATTATAAGAAAATATAGTTCTTCCTGATTCTTCTTTGTTTTTCATTGGTGTACTCTATTTCGGTACTATGTTTCATTGCAGTTAACCCCTGATGGAACTAACAATAATCAAGCACATACTAATTTAGCATGGGGTTAAGAAACTGAGAATAGATGATCGAATCTAAGCAGCCTGGGAAACAAAAGTGAAGCTTTTTTTTTTTTTCCCCAAGCAATAAGGTAAACAGCAGTAGGGACACTGTGCTGTGTCCTTTGGTATGACTGTGCAAAGTAGCATTACCTGTTGTCTGAGTTCCTCCTGGGTCTAGAGTTCCTTGCCCGCAGCTTATTAATGGTAAATCTGAGAGTCACTGCCTTAACCATTGCCTCATCCCGACTTTGTGCTCGATTCCAAGAGCATCACCTAGTTTTCTGGCGACCTCTTTGAATCTGAGTTGCTCAGCACTTTTCCAAACAGAGCCATAAGCTGGATAAAGTTCAGTGGTTTCACTGCAAACAAGTCTGCCTTCTGCTGGGTTGATGGTGGTGTTAAAATGTAAAAGATCAATCTGCTTTCTTAAAAAAGATTATTTTCCTCTCTGGAAAATGTAAACAAACTCCAATAACTTCCTCTGTTAGGAAAACATTTTTTTCATTCTCTTTCCTTTGTCAGCATGCACCTGACTGCAGCTGTGGCTGATACCGAGCCTTTGCTCTGTTTACTTTAAAGAATAAGCCACTGCTGTTTGATTTAGTTTATCATTTTTAATGCATAAGCCCTCTCTTGATCTTGCATTCCAGGGAAAAGGAACCAGAGTTCCTCTAAACATCATGCAAGGTGCCAGACTTGTGGATGTAAATCTCCCTAGCTAATTTGCAAAAGTGAGATTATAGGGAAAACACTCCCACCAACAACAAACATGTGAGCACCAAGTTCCCCTGGCAGCATTAATGTCACGGGTGTGCTTCAGCCCTGCCAGTCACTTCTCATTCCACTGTCAGTGCTCCTGTTCAGTGCTTCTTGCTGCATTGCACCAGTATAGCTTCTTATTCTAAAGGTCAGCCACCCACATTAGAGTTCAAAAAGACATTTAATGCAAGCAAAAAAAAATCGAAGGTGGCTTTCATCAGACTTTACTTGAAACAGATTAACACGGTAAGATTTGTTGATGCATAGGTCCCAAATTAAAAAAAAAAAAAATTCTTGTCAGGGATATGTGAATTGCAGAGTGAATAAGACATAAAGAGCTACATTCTTCCTTGTGCTTCCATCTGTTTAAAATACTCAGGTTGCAAGTGGAATTGCACAGGGTGTTTTTTTAAGCTTGTATCTGCAATGAATAAACACTGAAGAGCAGGTCTTAATGTTTCATTCTTAAGGCAGAAATACGGACTGTGACCTTCTCTCAGGAAACCTCGGAGCAGTGATTAGGGTGGCTGGAAGCCGGCTTCAAACAACCTAAAGGAACTCCCAGCCCTAGGTCTTGAAGGCACTCCCCAGGGTGTCTCACTGGAGGTGTCTGACACAGGTGTGACAGCTGCTGAGCATTTGCTGTCAACAGAGCAATGATCAGGGCAGAGCCCTGCTGTCCCAGGTTGCCAGATCCTTCCCCGTATCACAGAGGGGCAGAAAATGAGCTGCGATGACATCAGCAGAAGATGTCTCTATGTATTTGCAGTAGGGGAAAAAAAAAAAAGAAAAAAAAAAGCCCTTTCCCTCTTTCCCTTCCTTCTTCCTATGTCTTTTCTTTCCTTTTTCATCTCTGGAAAGGGGCTGGCAGGGGAATCACAACAGCACTTCATGAAACTTGGGGATCCCGTGGGGTGGGAATATTCCTTCCTGGCCAAATTGCCTCTGCTGTTTTTGTTTTTTTTTTTTTTTTTTTTTTTTTTTTTTTTTTTTTTTTGTTGCTGCCAGAGGAACAAAGCAGCCACTATGTCCAAGAGGAATGGAAACAGGCAATAAATGTGAAGTTAAAGAGGTTTTTGTTTTATTTACTTATTTTTTTCGCACAGAACCAAAAAACAGCAACAGCTGCTCAAGATGTAAACACAGTCCTCTTTAGCATAGAAACCACTTATAGAAATTCTTTGAATCGACTGATGCTCAGTAAGGGGAAGATGTTTACATAAATCCCACACTCCATCCAAGATAACAGCACAGTTACATCTTAATCTGAATGACACCGGGCCTGATCTTTCAGACTACTGAGGTGAAGACTTCCTGCAGAATTCCCCAGGTTAGGAACAGGTTACTATTCCTAAGTGCATCTGTCTGATGCAAATATTTGCAATTCTTCACTCAGCAGTTCAGCCCTGGGGCATCTTTGCTGGTTTTGTGGTACTGTGCCCACACAGTGATCCTGGAGAGGTCTCCAGGCACCAATACAATCCCTGAGATGTTTCTGGCTGTGCTAAGGTAAAAGGAACAGATTGCTGGGGCAATTTGCCAGTACTTTAAAGCTTATTTACAGCTACAGAAACCAGCATTACAAATTATCCTTCCGGAGAAGAGAACAGTCTGAAGAAGCCTGAAAGTTTAGGAACACCTAACTTGACCTCTCTGACCGTGGGGAATCGGGCTCTGCCTCAGAAGTGACCATATCCTATCTCCAGACATTTCCTCTGCAAAGCAGGAAAAACAAACAAGAGATTTCTTATCCTTTTGTTTTCATGTCATTTTTTTGCAGTGTAGACCTAGGGATAATGGTCTTGCAATTTTCATAATTTTTCATGTTTTGTAAGAATGAAAAAAAAAAAGTAAATGATTTCCAGTTGGAAGCTTGGCTTTGAGGAGTGCATTGTTTTTCCTCTTGTGGAGTATTGAACAATGTGAAATTTTTGCTATCAGCTGAACAGCCACTTCAAGTTAAAAGCAACTTTCTGTGTAAAAAATGTATCAGTTCCATTCTGAAATGCAAATCTTTAGAATCCTCATACAAAAAAAAAATAAAAAAAAAAAAAAAAAAAAAATCTGGGCATTTCAAGCTATACTCCCAGGCCTTCTCCATGTTCAATAAGGATATGCAGGGGCTCAACTTGAAGTGTTTGTTCAAGTGTTTTGCTGTAGAGGAGGCCCTGAGACCTTGATGGCAGAAGGCATTGTTGTGGTGATTTCAGAGCTCGAGGCAGGAAGCAAATTGCATATGTGGCATCTTGCAAAGGATAGAAAATAACACCGTCTTTTTCTGAAAATATAAAAGTGGGCTTTCCCTTGGATTCTAAATGCACAGATTAGTGGTCGTCAGCAGATTCAAGGAAAAGAGCGAGGAAAATGATAGAGAAAGCGAATCACAAGAATAAATAGAGGTCTGTCTTCCTGCAGGCTTTGCTGAAATGCTTTCAAACAATTGTCTTTGGATCAAGAAAAATTACTGAACGATTTTGCGAAACAAAGTAAAGCTGCAAATGAAAGCAACGCTCTGACAACCAAAGGAGATGTTTCCAAACAGAAACATAGTGAAAGAAAAGGTTGGGGGGAAAGAAGGGGGGATGTGTGGCTCTACGCAAGAGTGGAAAGAGGTTTTTAGAGGGCTGGCAGAAGCTTTGAGGATGTTAAAGTACTTTACTAAGTTTGTGTGGCACACCTATATTCTCAGTGTTTCACAACCCTGACTCTGGCCGGTGTGGTATGTAAGAGAATTTGTGTTTTCATCCTCCTGATGCTGGTTTACGTTATCATTAGAGGAGTTTTCCTCCAACCTGAGATATCCATGAATTTATTTTACTGACCAAAGCTTTCACGTGGACTCACAATGTACTGGGGGTGCCTGGGCCCTTTCACTCAGCACAGATCCCTCAGTCTGGCCTGTCTGTCTGTCTGGGGCCCTGTGGCACCCACCCTATGTGGGCTCTTTGAAACAGGGACTCCATTTTCTGTTACTTTTTAAAGCTCTTAAACCCAGCCCCTAAAACACACGGTCCTTCCTTCTGTGTAGGGCATCTGGGTTATTTCTTTAATTATTTGGGATTTCTGACTGAGCGATTGTGTAACATTTGGAAGGCTTTCTTTTCTCTGTGGAGCTGCGAATATTTTCACTGCACTGCGGCCATCCTGGACCTTGCCTCATGGTTGCTTCACATGCAGACACGTTGTGCAACCTGACAAATCGTCTGGTGCTGCAGACCCTTACACCAATCCTAATTGTACTCGTGGAGTGGAAAAACATGGTAAGAACCGCTCCTAAACTGAGCAGAGCCTTCCTGGCTACGTAGGAAGGGACACAGCCCCATGCAGTTGCCCCTGCACAGCTCTGTCAATTCACAGGGACACAAAGGTCCCCAAAATTGTGCTGAAGCATACATGTCAGTCTGCAATATCTTTCTTTAGAATGTGAGAAAATTGAGGACAGCCTGACTTAGACTGGTAAAGACCAGCTTCTATTCAGTGTTATTATCCAAACTCCCACAAAAAAAAACAATATAAAAGAGGCATATTTATTGCCTGTATTCCAGGAACCTGACTGAATAAGCAATGGATGCTGTTTACTGTAGACCAGAGAAAATTATCTGCCAAAATAAGATTTTATTCATGGTTTAACGATGTTAATTCAAGAGATCCAGACCTGGCACTGGAAGGCTTTGGTTCCACAAACACTTGAGTCCGGTACTGAAGCCAAAAGAAGCAGTCCAATTCTCTCTCTGCCGTGATTTTTTTCTGACTGGATGCTGTCCTTTCTCTTGTTCTGGCATCAGAAGGTGTGCGTTCATGCAGTGGACCATATTAAAGCCAGCCAAGGCCTTTTTCCATGCATAGGTTTTCTCCTGGACATGATCTTCCGCATGAAGCCCCATGGTGGCACAAAGGATGAAATGGCACAGAGCGTGGAGGGAAACAACCCTGGGGCAAGGAGGCTGCAGAACGGCTTATGTCAGTGGCACTGCTGTCTTCTCACTTAACTTGTCTGTAAATTACTTTGTGGCATCAGTTATTTCTTCTTGCTGTGGCCTCCAAATTCGTCTACCTGTTTTGGAAGCACACCCTCCACAGTGCCTTGCTACAAAGAGGAAAAGAGGATGTTATGCATACAGGATATTTATTAAAGTCAGTGCGTAGCACTTACCCAAAGAAAATATACAGAATGTGCAAAGAGTAGGCAGCATACCTATCACACGGGGTTATATATGGCTTAAACTATGTCAATGCTGAATTTCCAAATCTGGAACTCAGTAGGCTGCATTTTCCAAACACTGGCATAAATGTTTGCATGCCAGAATGGGAAATGGGGGTGAGGCTGGATCATCTTGTTCTTCCATAATCTACACTCCCAAAATCTATGGGATTATGCTGTACAGCAGAACCACTGTTGAAAAAGACCTGGTGAAAAATATGTTCCAAAATAATTAACTGGATTTACAAGAAGTTTAAATAAAGAATATTTATTTTTCTCTGCTACATTCTGGATACTTCTTAATAACGGAAAAAAAAAAAGAAAAAGAAAAAAAAAGCCAACAACAAAACCCAGTATTTTTCTGG